ATGCTTATGTTGCAGATTATCACTAGATTAACAATTATGTAAAATGGTTCCTTCTATATCAGTGGTCTCCAAACTGTGGCCCTTTGCTTGCCTTTATCTTCCCCTTGGGACACTATTCCACCAACTGAAACCAATGATGGAGCACAATTCCCCCTACTGACACCATCAATGGGGCATTGTTCTTCTCATTGATATCAACAATATTGCACTATTCCTTCCATTAAAACAAATGATGGGGCACTGTTGCCAGGGCATTTTTCTACTCCCACTGGCCACAGTCCGGCCCCCCTAAAGCCTGAAGGACAGCAACCTGGTCCTTTGCTTAGAAAGTTTGGAGAACCCTGTTCTCTATAATCAAAAAAGAACAATGGTGCTGTTCTATGTACAATAAACTGTATGAACATCCAAATCAACACTTGGTAAAAAATCAGATAATTGTGACAATTTAAATTAAATAAACATAAAAGTGAAAATGAAAAAGTTAAAAGAAAATGTCCATCCAGTGTTTCAGCAGTGCACAAAATAAAGTCCCATTATTGTCCAGTCTTGTTACTGAATAATGTAAAAAATGGAAATATCCTCCTGCGCTTAATATGAATTAAATCTCTATACTAACAGCTGCTGTCACTCTGCCTTAACCATTAAGTCATATATTACCACACCTTTAAAATAGTGAAGCGCTGAAATTAATACCCTATATATACATATTAAAGTACCATCAAAACCATGGTATTAAAGTACCATCTAAAAATAAAACACCCAAAGCCTTAATCTATCGGTGAAATATCATAAATAATAAATATGATAAAAGAATGACATACATAACTCATAATAATATAAATCCGTGATCAAAATTGATATGTGACAAATTTATATTCCCCTAAATATTTTATCCATCAAATTAATCCGTGATAATTAATCAAAATCAGTGATTATGATATTCAATAATAAAAAAATATATATATCCGTGACATATGTCACATATATATATCCGTATATATGTGACAAACTTATATAATCATAATTATTAAAAACGGTGATGATTATTGATCAAGATAAGTGATTATTAATTTCTGTGAAAAACCATATATCAAAATATTTCATAAAAAAAATTTTAAATCCACTGCTTCTTGTGATTTATACACATAAACCAACACTGTGCATAAAATAAGCAAAACAAGTTCATGCAGTAATGTGAAAAAAACACTCAGTGATCTTCACTTCTAGTGCTCAAAAGGAATCCTCCAATGGCAGCAATGCCTGCTTACCTCCCTACCTTGACCCACACAGGGCCACAAGGCTATAGCTCTCCTCAAAGGCAATCCTTTAATCCAGGCAGCTCAGCAAGGGATCACAGGACTTCCACTCCACCTCCACTCAAACGTCATATAGGACACAAACAGAACTTCCCATAGTGTAATACTGTTTAATTAGACACTTTGTACATCATATTGTTTCCACTCACATTTGTTTCCTGTTACAAAAACGCTTTCCACCTCATTCCATGGGTGTGTTCACATACAGGAAGGGAAATCAATATGGCCGCTGCGTCCGGACATGGGTCACCACGTGACCGGAAGTGACGTATCTCTAAACTGGGAATGGCGTACCGACGCGTTGCATCACGTGCGTCGTGACTTCATCAGGGTCAGACCTTATATTTATTTAATTTATGTATACCGTATATACTGTATTCTTTTGTGCATATTTCACATTCAACTCTAGTAGTAGAGCGTGACACGTTTGCATTTGTTTTGATTTTAGTGACACACTTGTATGAGCATGTGTATGGTGTAAGCGACCCACTCACTTATTTATTTATTTAATTGATATTTATTTAAATTATACACACTAGTATAGTAATTTGCACATATTTCACTTATTTATATTATTTATATTGGTTTTTCATTTCATTTACCCACTTTATAAAGACATGTATGTATAAAATACACCATAATAGCTCACAAGGATCACGTTTTTTAAATTAAAAAAAAAATGTGTTTTTTATACACAGAAATCGAACACATCTTGTATTGATTTGGATTGTAACCCCTTCATGATGGAAGATAAAACAAATCTTGCCTGTACATAGTTTTACAACTTTGACATGTGTTAGTATAACTGTACAAACCATTGCAGCTACTTACTCTAGGTTCACACCTAAGCATTTTCTGCAGCATTTTAACATGATTTCCTATGAGACATGTTCACATCTATGCGTTTTCACCCAGTGTGATTTTTAGAAAGGGTCAGGGACTTTTTTGAATGCAAAAAGTTGCATTTTTGGTTCTATAGACTTTAATGGAAACGCTGTAGAAAAGCATGTATTGCGTTTTTGCAGTGTTTTTGATGCGTTTTGCATTTTAAATCTGCCTAGCAACAATAAAAATAAAAATAAATTTAAAAAAACGCATAAAAATGCATCAACAACGCAAGGGCAAAAATGCAAACGCAATGCAGAACCTAGCCTTAGTGTATCCAGATGGACAATACCTTGTTTATTTCAGGGAAAATTGGGCTTCTTTTGGTGGATAACTCCTGTTTTTTTTCTCATCAAAGAAAAACTGGCACACAATAGTCAAATTAATCATTATATAAAATTTTGTTTTATATTTACTGTTGTATTGCTATTAACATGACCTACCAGCAAAGAACAACCCAAAAGAATTCTCCTACTCCTGACTATTCCAGCAACACCACCTATGTGTATATTATGTGCTGTTTGTACCCATAGGAGAGCCCAGAAACAATGATGCACATTTTGCTTTTTTTAATACCCTTTCTAAAACCCTGACAATGATAATAAATTAAAAAAATGCTTTTCCAACAATCTGATCGTTAGTACACAGGTTTTGAGAGCCGATGAGGATAGAAAAATGTTCTCATAAGATAACAGAATGAATGATTTACGTTTAATCAATATAGTATTTCTCCATAATAAACCGAGTGACCAAGACCACGCATGACTGGAAACATGAGAATGACCGTGATAAATCTTCATTTACAACGCAGATGCTTCTAAATACGAAAATAATATCGTTTTCAGGATATAAATATTTATAATAGCAATATTGAAGTGATAATCTTATTGCTACAATTTGGTCATTGTCTGCAGAGGTATCACGCGTACATGATATCTCTTCCAATTACACGCTGTTACATTACTACTCACATAGGAAGTTGTACTGGATTGCATGAGAATTTTTGTATGCTTAGTAGCACTCTTGTATTCAGTATAAGATTAGCATGCAAAAAAGCACAAACAATCTTTCCTCCGATTTTCATGAGTACTAGTTCTTTGGCTCACCTCTTCTTTGAATGTCTCTGCTATGGTAACAAGGGACAGGGTGCCAGTGGTAGACTATGCAGTGACAGTGTGACTAGCTGGCTGAAAGCTAAAGTGTCTGGGGTATTGAAAGGCCAGGAGGTTGAAAGTTAGGGGTTCAAGGGTGTGCAGGGAGGTGCAGTGGTAGGGGTGCTGGGTGACAGGGAGAGGTCAGGGTACAGAGTGTCAAGGGTACTGGGTTTTTCATAGATCTAAATACAAAAGCTTTCCACCTGTAAAGCCTGCAGGAATGCCTCTTTGACCACCACCAGATGTGCTCCCATATCATCTGTCTATCAAAGGTAAGTGCAAGGGAATTTTTCTGAGTCAGAATATGACAAAACTATGAAAATAAACTCTCTAAATCAACATTAACTATTTTTAATCTTTATGCTGCTAGCATTATAAATAGATAGGAAATTACAGTATGTTGTATTTATATTTTTAAGCTCTTTTTTAAATTATTTTTTTCAGTGTGCTTCCTGGTTTCTGGCCTCCTCCAAAATGATGTCATACATCCAAGGATTTTTTAAATTTCATCTAGGGAGGAGGGGCTTTCTGAGCTACCCACACCCTCTTGCTTACATGCCTGAGCTATAGGCAGATGGATTCTTGAAAGTAAATGCTACACAAATCACCTTCCTTCACTCAAGATGGCTACGGCTAGAAATTTTTTCTTAGTGATTCCTCACAAAATAAAGCATGGAGACATGGATAGATGGGTGAGTTTGGTATGAAAATGAAATGGAATGAAATAGCATTTTCAATTTTTGATGCTCAGATACAGATTTAGTTTCATTCTAAAAGTAAATAGGGAAAGAAAAAAATATACTGACAGTGTTTGCAGCCTGGCTTCTGCACGTACCTGCCAATACAGTGGGGGGCAACTGCAAACTGCATGGTGCAAAATCTGCTTAATTGAATAAACTGAAGTTAGAAGCTGATTAGCTAACATGTGCAGCTGCATCAGATTCTGAGCGCATCAGTTTTAGTAAATCTCCCCCAGTGTTTGGATATTTACCATGGTATTCCATTTTGGAGATGGATCACTTTTTTTCTGTACTCATAGAGTTGGCTTATATATCGATGAAAAGCACAACAACTTATACTCAGAACTGATTAAATACCCCCCCCTGAAATGTGAAGCATGGAGTTTCTGACAGCTGTTGGTGTGCTCCGTCTTGCTTGGGCCAAACAGTACCCTGGAGCTGGAGGAGAAGGGCTGACATTTCAATTTACTACATCCCTACCATTTGGACACACGAGTGCAACTGTTTGTTCCCAAATAAACTGATTTTACTGTGCTAGGTGGTTGGGCTTCCCTTTTTGTCTTCATTCTTGATGGAATGGCTGTCTTAATGCAACACAGGTTAATTCAAATACATTAGCAAAACACAATGGGACAGCATAGTGTTCAAGGGGCCTTAATATTTTTATGTGTACTGCTGGCTTTGAGATGTGTGGGCTATGAGGACTTGAAGGGGAGGTGGCTTCACAAAATACAATTTTTGCTTTCTATATATTTTAAGAACTGTGCAGCTTATTAAATCTCATCTGCTTTAGTATATGTTTTAGATCTTATTGCCAAAAGTATTGGAACGCCCCTCCAAATCATTGGATTCAGGTGTTCCAATCACCTCCATGGCCACAGGTGTATAAAATCAAGCACCTAGACATGCAGACTGCTTCTACAAATATTTGTGAAAGAATGTGTTGCTCTCAGGAGCTCAGTGAATTCAAGTGTGGTACCATGATAAGTTGCCACCTGTGCAATAAGTCCATCCGTGAAATTTCCTTGCTACTAAATATTCCACAGTCAACTGCTAGTGGTATTATAACAAAGTGAAAGCAACTGGGAACAACAGCAACTCCGCCACATAGTGGTAGGCCACGTAAAATGACAGAGCGGGGTCAGCTCATGCTGAAGCACAAAGTGTGCAGAAGTCGCCAACTGTCTGCAGAGGCAATAAGAAGCTAAAGACCTCCAAACTTTGTGTGGCCTTCAGAATAACACAACAACAGTGTTTAGTAACTTCATTAAAGCCTTACATCACCAAGTGCAATGCAAAGCGTCGGATGCAGTGGTGTAAAGCACACCACCACTGGACTCTAGAGCAGTGGAGGCATGTTCTCTGGAATGATGAATCACACTTCTCTGTCTGGCAATCCGATGGATGTGTCTGGGTTTGGCAGTTGCCAGGAGAACGGTACTTGCCTGTCTACATTGTGCCAAGTGTAAAGTTTGGCGGAGGGGGGTAGAGTTTGGGGATGGCCCCTTCCTGTTCCAACATGACTGCGCACTAGTGCTCAAAGCATGAAGACGTGGTTGAGCGAGTTTGGGGTGGAGCAACTTGATTGGCCTGTACAGAGTCTTGACTTCAACCCAATAGAACACCATTGGGATGAATCAGAGCAGAGACTGCAAACCAGGCCTTTTTGTCCAACATCAGTGCCTGACCGCATAAATGCGCTTCTGGAAGAATGGTCAAACATTCCCATAGACACACTCCTAAACCTTGTGTACAGCCTTCCCTGAAGAGTTGAAGCTGTTATAGCTGCAAAGGGTGGGCCAACTCAATATTGAACCCTATGGACTAAGACTGGGATGTCAATGAAGTTTATGTGCGTGTAAAGGCAGGCGTCCCAATAATTTTGGCTATTTATTGTACAATTTCCATTTAAATGGGCTTTTCTGAACTATTTTACCTTATTGTCACCTTCATTTTTTAAAAACCACATAAAAGTCTACTGTCATTATGTAAATAGTTTTCAGGCTGTTATCATGCGTGTATTAAGCAACTCCTTTGTATTCCCTGGACATCACAAGGTACTTGTCCTAATCTGCTGAGGCAGTCTTTGGACAAGTTTCAATGATTATTTGTCATTCACTGCTGAGAGACTAGTGGAATGATTTATAGAAAGAAACCACCATGAAATAAAAATTTCGGCAGGTATTAGAGTACATACTTGAACCTAGGCAGAACTGTATTCTACGGCAAAGTTTCAGCACCTTTTGTTAATGTCAAAGCTTGCCTACATCTTCCTGTCTACATATTTTTTTTTTGTATTAACAATTTTTATTGGTTTTCATGCAAGTACAAACAGTATGTTTAAAAAAAGGATAAGGAAAGAAAATAAGCATAACAGGAAGGTACATCGATGGCGAAATTACATAGGGTCAGGACCAGTGGAATCATATAATAACAGTGTGGAAGTTATCAGGGCCTTACAATTTGGGCCGGCATAGAGGAAATGAAGGTATCCCATGGGAGCCAAATCATCTCAAACACAGCAAACTAACAACTATGTAATGCAGTCAAATATTCCATCTGTCTTACATCAGCAATAAGTTTGTACAAAATCGGCAATGAAGGGGGAGTAGAAAATAACCAACACATAGGAATGCTTCTCCTGGCCGCGGTCAGAACAATGTCTACATATTTTTATTGGTTCAGTGTGCCATCCTGCCATAGTGATAGGCCAACAGAAATGTGTGGGTTGGATTTATTGCCTAGCTTCAGGCTGAAAGGTGAAAATGTTTTGAATAAAATGTATTCTTATTTAACAGTTTAACAGTTGACCTAGTTTATCCCTGTATAACGCCTTCTTCTTTTTTCCCTTAGCTATTAAAGGAGAAGTCAGGCCAAAGCTACAGTATCTTCTCCTATGGGTCACAGGAGTACACCTTGTTCTGCACTCCTGTGACCCATTTTCAGCTGACAGCGTGCTAAAGCCCACAATTGGCTGTTGTCATTCCATTTCAGATATAAAAAAATCCCAACTTTAAAATCAGGATCCACCCAGATGCCTGGACTGACAGCTGGCTCAGCCTCTCAGCAAGCCACTGAGAGCCTGAGTCACCTGCTCCCCCTCCACAGCCCAGTGCTCCAGAGAACTCCCTGAAGTTACAGTGCTCAGCATAAATAAGTACACCCCAACAGATTTGTCGGAAAACCTTTCCTTTCAGAATCAATATTTTTTATGGGACATTACACTACAAAATATGCCCACAAATGCAGGCCATTGATTGCAAAGAAGATTTGTTAATTTGCACACACAAAAAAAAGTGTTTTTCCTAACAAATTCATTCAAGACCACGTTGCAAAAATGAATACACCCCAATGAAAGTCTTAGGGGCAAATCTACATTTTAGACAACAAAATCCTAATTAACAAGAATTCAACTACAGGTCAGTCTAATTATTCATTAAACAGGTGTCCAGTAGACAGATGATTATACAAGGGCATTATTTAACAAAGAAAATTCTTTCCCATTTCATGCTGTCAGCAATAGCACCACATGGAAGTGAAATGTCACTAGGCCTGAGAAAGAAAATACTTTTTTTACACAAGAAAGGTGAAGGCTACAGGAGGATCAGCAAAGCCTTACTTATCAGTCAGAATACTGTTGCAAAAGTGATACAAAAAATGAACAAAGATGGAACTGCAACCATCTCACAGAGACGTCCAGGCCGTCCACGGAAATTAACACTTTGAAAGAAGCATCTTCTGATGAGAAGGATTGAAGAAAATCGCCATGCAGTTAGCTAAAGAAGGAGAAAGCCAAACTAGATTGATTGTTTCCTGTGATACAATATGGTGTACACTGCAGAGGAATAGCCTGCATGGGTGTCGTCCATGAAGGATGCTTCTCCTAAAGCCCATGCACAAAAAAAGCCAGTCTAGAAATTGCCAGGGCCCATGCTGAAAAAGAAGAAGACTACACACATCTAAGGCCACTGTTGCATTTCTGAAGAACAAGGTGAAAGTGATTCAGTAGGCAAGTATGTCTCCTGATCTGAACCCAATCAAACACCTATGGGGAATTCTGAAGAGAAAAGTTGAGCATCACTCTCCATTCAGCATCCAGGCTCTAAAAGAAGTTGTTCTTGAAGAATGGAAAAAGATAGATTTTACAATATGTCGCCAACTTGTTCATTCCATGACTAAAAGACTTGGTGCTGTCCTTACAAATCATGGAGGTCATACAAAATACTGGATGTAGTAGTTTTTGTTTTGGGGTGTATTCGTTTTTGCATCAACTAATTTAAGTAAAACTGGAGATTTTGTAATCCAAGTTATATATTTATTCTTACTTTCATGTAATGAGCTAAACAAAAGTTCTGTAAAACTCAGTTTTGTCAAAATTTTGGAAATTGTTCTTGTGTTCATTGAGATATTGATTAAAATCTTACTTTTCAAAAGGGGTGTACTCATTTATGCTGAGCACTGTACATTATATATATTTACTATGTTGTGCCAGTTTTCCTTTGCAAAAAAAAAAAAATACAGGAGATGACGTTACCATTTTCCACCAAATGAAAGCCCTATTTGTGTTGAAAAGAAACAGGTATTCACTTAGATACACTAAAGCCTTAAAGCCTAGTACACACGAAGAGAATATCGGGTGAATGATAGCCTGTTTTTTGCATGCTAGTCCCATATTGAAAATGAAAAGTTTACTAAAGATAGCAAATTCTCATAAGACAGAATACAACTTTGGAAGCGATGTAATGTATTGTATTGTATTTTATTGTATTCTTTTATTTATGAGCATATGTGGTCTTGGTCATTCAACTTTTTATGGACAAATACTGTACTGATTAAACAAAAATAATTTGTTCTGTTATTGTACAGGAAAAAATGTTGTGCTTCTTCCTTACAATCAGATTATCGGTTGATTGCTTCGAAAGCAGTGTTCTTCATCTGATTTTCTCATGGTGTATACTAGGCAGAAGGCCCTGTTCACACCTGTGCGTTTTTCTGCTTGAAACTTGTAGCGCTAATACGTTCAACAAACCAAATCCCATTCATTTTAATGGCCCCTGTTCACATCTGAGCATTTTGTTGCCTGTTGCTCAGAAAATTGCAAGAGCTTCTTTTAGGCAGACTAGCCCTATATTCAATGGGAATGAGAAACGCACAACATATGCATTACAAGCATTTTATCAGCACTTGGTCTCACGTTTTTCTGGCAAAACAGCAGCTCTTCACCAATAATTTCCACCCCAAACTGCTTTCTATTGACAAAAATAAAATACCTGAAAGTTGAATACACATACCAGGGCTTTTTTCTCAGAGAACAGGTGCAGGAACTCCCCCCTTTTGAATCAATTCTTGTCTTTGCCCCCCTACCCACCTCTGAGCACAGTCTTTTAGTTCCACCCCCTACTCACTTCCCAGTACCGATCCTTATGGAGAATACAGAGCCAAGCATGGTTTTGTGGTCATTTATGGAACTTATATGGAATTTGCTAATGATAACAAGAAAAACAGCAAAATAGATCTCCCTGCAGCCAAAGCAAAATACCCCCTTCAGCAACAATAGACCCTAGCAAAATTATCACCACAGCAACAATAAATGCCCAGCAGCAACAACAGACATCCCGCCAGCCAGCATCAAAATACTCTCCAGCAGCCAGCAATAGATCCCCTAACTCAACAATTGATATCTTTTAGCAACAATAGATACCTCACCAGCAACAACAGACCTCCCCAGCAACAATAGACCACCATGTAAAAATAGATCCCGTTCAGTAACAATAGATCCCCCAGCAGCTAGCATCAATAGACCTTCCAGCACACCCCAGCACCACTTGCCATTACATACATTCAGTTTTGGAGGTTCCAGAACTGCATTCACTCATGTTCCCACTGAAAAAAAAGCTAAAGGGCTCTTAATACTCTTGCAAAACTCTCAAATAAAAACTCCTAATATTCGCTCTGCTTAGGTGTGAATGGAGCCCAAGTAGTTATGATGGGATGTGCAGTTTTACTAACACCTGTGAAAGTTGTATAACTGTGGTCAGGCATTAGGATTTGTTTTACCTTCATCATGAAGGGGTTAATATCCTAATAAATAATAATAGTAAAATTACAAAAGACTATTGTGCATCCCTTAATATACATCAAAGGACACATTTACAGACCCTTTATATTTACCAAGTTGACCACCTCTGATTAGTGGTCCAGAAAATGTAAAAAATAGCATCACATAAAGCACAGTGTCAAATAAAGGAATAGCAGAAACATATAAAAAGCATTAGCAGCAAACATGA